GAGTGGGTTGCCATGCCCTCCTCGGGGGGATCGTCCCAACCCAGGGATCAAACCCACGTCTCTTACATCTCCTGCATTAGGCAGGTGGGTTCTTTACCACTAGCACCACCTGGGAAGCCCTTTCACCATACCTCACATCTAAAATGCAACATCAGTTTAAAGGGAAACAGTCAGAGAGGGCTTGTCGCCGGAGCCATGGTGACTCGAGAGAGGAAATGCCAGGCGTGTGTGTCCAGCCAGCGGGGGACTTGCCACGCTTCTCCAGGAAACCTTGAGTCCTGGGTTTTGACAATCCTCCTCTCACACTGAACTTTAAACTGGTTAGAGCCGCTGCTCCATTTACCTGCGGCTCACCACAAAGCCTGGGTCCCCTGGTCTGACGTTTGTGAGGCCAGCGAGTGCCGTCTCCCGAGGTCTGCGGGTGCAATGCACAAAGAGCCTCTTCCTGGATTCTGGGGTGTGAGAAGGTGGGGGCACCTGGCAGACCCTAGATCAAGGTTCTGCTGTGTTTAAAGCAACGCTTTAAAAAAAAAAGCAAAAAACTTTTATTTTGTATTGGAGTATAGTTGATTAACAATGTTGTCACAGTTTCAAATGGACAGCAAAGGGACTCGGCCATACACATCCATGTATCCATTCTCTCAGCCACTCATATACGTGTGCGTGCTAAATTGCCTCAGTCGTGTCTGACTCTGCGATGCTAAGGAGTATAGTCCGACAGGCTCCTCTGTCCATGGAATTCATATACTGACTCTCAAAAACAGGGTTTTCAGTCCAAATGTCAGCGGGAACTAGCCCGAAACACGGAATGACAAGAGCTGCTTGAAGTATCTCTTTACTTCTGGTAAACTGTGCCCCCAGGGCGCGGGCTGGGAGGCGACGGGCACTCAGGATGCAGCCTGGCCAAGCCCCGCCTCAGGGGCAGGTGGAGGCTCCCGGCGCAGGAGCCCCAGCCCACGTCCTCTCCGCGTCACCACCGTCACATGAATGACACAGCACCCCGGGGACCTAGGGGGGAAGGGGCTGAGCCCCTCTGAGGCCCTGAGAATCACAGAGTGGGCACTCGGGAGCCCCCGGAACACACGGTTTTTCTGCGAGCCCACCTGCCTGCTGTGACTGGCGTGTCCCCATCACCCTGCGGCCAGGGGCTGCTCTCATGCTGCCGCCGGGCGCCCAGAGAGCAGGGAGCACAGGCGAGACCAGGGGTCCCAGGGGTCCTGGCCATGTCCATCACGCTGCGGATGGAGCGCCCGGGCGCCCAGAGAGCAGGGAGCACAGGCGAGACCAGGGGTCCCAGGGGTCCTGGCCATGTCCATCATGGTGCGGATGGAGCGCCCGAGCGCCCCGCAGTCCCACTCCTCCAAGGCTGCCCTCCGCTGGGCTCCTGGCCCTTCGATGCCTGGCATCCTCGCCCAGGGTGCTCTGACCACAAGCAAGCTGCACAGTTGGACCAGGGAGGGGCAGGGGAGAGTTGACAGATGGTGTCCAGAGCCCAGGCCTTGTGGCCCCTCCCAGGGCACGACTAAACAGCTGCGGACATGGCGTCTCCACAGGGCTCCTCCATGGGACAGGCTCCAAGTGGCCTGTTCCTGGCAGAGACCCACCCCTGGCACATAGGAGGTGACCTGGCCAGGCTGCACCTGCCCACCCACCCGCCAGCCAGGCTTCCACGAGCTGCACTAGGCACCCGCAGCACTGCATAGAGGGGTCCCGCCCGAGGCTGCACACAGACAGGGTGACCTGTGTGGCCTGCGACAGGTGACAGGCCTCTGAGGACCTCCAGACAGGAAGACTGTCTGGGCGGGAGGCTTGGCCACAGCTCAGAGAGAAGAGCAGGAGGGCTGAGCAAACACAGGGACAAGCATCCAGGGAGGGGGAACAGTACATGCAAAAAAACACAGGGACAAACATCCAGGGAGGGGAACGGTACATGCAAAAAAACACAGGGACAAGCATCCAGGGAGGGGGAACAGTACATGCAAAAAAACACAGGGACAAACATCCAGGGAGGGGAACGGTACATGCAAAAAAACACAGGGACAAGCATCCAGGGAGGGGGAACAGTACATGCAAAGACAGGGACAAGCATCCAGGGAGGAGAACGGTACATGCAAAGGCACAGATGCCTCTGTTAGACTGGAGTAAGGGTGGCAGTGTTCCGGAGGCAGGGGTCAGGGAGGCTCAATGAGTGGATCCAGGTGGGCAGAGGGTGGGCTGAGCGGGACAGGGTTTGGTCACCGAGAGGAGGAACCAGGGCAGAAGCCAAGCCAAGGGGGGCTCCCCTGTGGGCCAGGGACACCCCTGCTCCCAGCAGGCAGGAGACCCCCAGGGTGGGCACAGCTATGACCTGGGATCCCCTGAGGCAGAAGGCTCTTCCCCTGTGGCAGGTCAGGTCAGCATCAGGCTGGGCAAGGCTGACACGCCTGAGACCCCGGAGGCCCAGGCTGGCACCAGGCCCCAGACACCATGGCAGGCCCGGACTTGAGACTGCTGGCTCCTGCCAGACCTGTGTGCCCGGGCCCCGCGGTTCACTCCTCCTGGCAGGCCCTGGGGTGGGCCCGCCTCTCCCTTTTCTGAGACCCAGCCTGGAAGCCCCCATGCCCTCCTCTGGCAGCCCCTGGGGGGTGTCCCCTCCTCTGGGCTCTCGGGCCTGTCCGGCCTCTCCTTTCAGCTCCCAGGAGGCTGCCCAGGCCCTCTGCCCACGCCCACCCCCACCAGCACCAGCAGGGCCTTCTCCTTCTCTTCTTGTGATGCTACATCAGTTGGAGTGACCAGACTGGGTCCTACTCCAGAGCGAAGGCTGGTAAGGAAGGGGGGAAGGTGTCAGGAGAGTGAGTAGGGGAGGGAGGGGGTGCCCACTGGACTCCCGTGTGCAGGACAGGACCAGGCTAAGCAGTGGCGCCTGGGCCCCTTCCTTGCAGCTGCCCTGAGTTGCTGTCTGCCCACCACTCAGGGCCTGTCCCCTCGGTCTATTTCTCCGTCCATCAGAGGGACAGAGTACCCCCACCCCAGCAGGGCTGTGGAGGTCCCCCGGGAGCTCAGGCCATGACTGTCCAGCCTGGCTAAAACTTGTGGAGTCCCTCCACCCCAGGGCACCAGACAAACATTCAGCAAGTGCTGAACGCAGGGGCTCCGCAGAGCTGAGAAGCCAATCCCTGTGGGGTAAGGTCACGTGCAGGTCCTGGGGAGCATGGCTGCCTTCTTGTCCACCGTGAAGCCTCCGAGGAAACTGAACTGCTTCCCTGGTTACTGCAGTCCCGGTGTCAGATCCCGAAACACAGAACAGGAAGCCCCCAGCAAGCTCCAACCCGGCCCCCTGCAGTCTGTACGGAGCAGGGTCTACTCTCAGGACGCCCGGTCAGCACCGCCCTGGCCTGGTCACCCGCGGTGCAGGGCTCCTCTGACGTCCCAGGACACCAGTGGCTCTGCTGGGCAGGCCGGCCTCACCTGGGCCTGGCCCCTCCTGTGGCGCTCATGGTTGCATTTATTCTGCTCGCCTACTGACTCAGAGGCCGAGACTCCCCAGCAAGCACCCCTTGGTTACGTGCATGGAGACCGAGCAACAGGACCCTTGGTGTCAACTCGCAGAGGAAATGCTTACTCCAAAGGGTCAGGAAGGACACATGCTCCGGGTGTGCACGTGGAACACACACACTTCTTTCTTTCTTTTCTTTTCAGAAAGCTTTTTGTTTTATACTGGAGTATAGCCAATTAACAATGCTGTAATAGTTTCAGGTGGACAGCGAAGGGCTCAGCCACACACATACCTGTATGCATTCTCCCCAAACTTCCCTCCCATCCAGGCTACCTTGTAACATTGAGCAGAGTTCCTTGTGCTATACAGGAGGTCTTAGTTGATTACAGCAGTGTGTACTTGTAAATCCCAGGCTTCCCTGGTGGCTCAGATGGTAAAGAATCTGCCTGCAATGCAGGAGACCCAGATTCGATGGAAGCTGCCCTGGAGAAGAGAACGACTACCCGCTCCAGTATTCTTGCCTGGAGAATCCCATGGACAGAGGAGCTTGGCGGGCTACAGTCCCTGGGGTCTCCCATGTCCAAGTAATTGGACATGGCTGAGTGACTAAGAATTCACACACATGTAAATCCCAAACGCCCTAAATATCCCTTCTCCCCATCCTTCCTTCCTGGAAAGCATAAATTTGTTGTCTAAGTCTATGAGTCTGTATCTGCAGTCAGAATATAAATTGGTACACTACTATGGAAAATAGCATGGAGGTGCCTTAAAAATGGAGCTATGATGTGGCCCAGTAATCCCACTCCTGGGCATACATTCAGAGAAAAACATGATCTGAAAGGATACATGCACCCAATGTTCATTGCAGTATTGTTCACAGAAGTCAGGACACGGAAGCAACTTAAATGTCCAGCAACAGATGAATGGACAAAGACATGGTGCATACACACAGTGGAATAGCACTCAGCCACTAAAAACGATGAAATAATGCCATTTGCAGCATCATGGATGAACCTAGAGACTGTCATACTGAGTGACGTAAGAAGCGGAGAAGGAGGAATTTGTATGGCATCCCTTATATGCAGAAGCAAAAAAGGAATGACATGAAAGGACATATGTGTGTGTTTTTCCAAGAGCTAAGCTTGAGTCAGCAAGCTGTGGCCCTGGGCTGAATCTGGCCCAGGGCTCCTTCTGTAACTCAAGCGTCATTGGCATGGGCCCACACCCCGTGACGGCTTCCTCACCACCACAGCAGGGCTGAGAACTTTTAACACAGCCAGTAGGCCCACCAAGCTGGAAATGTTGGGTCTCTGATCCTATACACGAAACATGGGGCGCCTGCGTCCCACCAGCCTCATGGGGCTGGGCGTCCCTGGGAACAGAGCGGGGGAGGGCTGGAGGGCAGAGACCAGCCTGCTCAGCTCTCGCTGACTGGACTTTGCCAGCTCCTCCCCAGACGCTCGGGGTTCACCACCCCTGCCGCCAGGCCTTTACGTGCAGGACAGACATTGATAACGGTCAGGTAACGACAACAGCACAGGCAGGGGGTGGAGCTGAGACCCACCCGCCAGGCTTGGCTCCTGGACACTGCAGTGCCCTGCGGCGCCCGGTCATCCAGCACAGGGGCTGCTGGGAAATGCTCTGGGCACTGACCACGGCCAGGGCGGTCCTGGGGCACAGGGCGTCAGGCTGGGTGAGGACTATGGCCTCCCACTCGCTGCTGGTGGCCCCCCCGGCGGCCCTGAGCAAGCCGCTGTCCATCCCCAGCCGGCTGCTGCTGGGGCCAGGCCCCTCCAACCTGACCCCCCGCGTCATGGCGGCCGGGGGGCTGCAGACGCTGGGCCACATGCACCAGGAGGTATACCAGGTAGGTCACGGAGGACTCAGCCTCGGTCCCCGGGCGGCCTCCTCCCGGGGGCGGGAGCGGGGAGGCTGTGAGCCGTGTGTCCACCACCCCCAGATCATGGACGAGATCAAGCAAGGCATCCAGTACGTGTTCCAGACCAGGAACACCCTCACCCTGGCCATCAGCGGCTCGGGGCACTGCGCCCTGGAGGCCGCCCTGTTCAACCTGCTGGAGCCAGGCGACTCCTTCCTGGTAGGGGTCAGCGGCATCTGGGGGCAGCGAGCCCAGGACATCGCGGAGCGCATCGGTAAGAGGCGGGGCAGGGGGGTGGCTCTTCAAGGAGTCCTTCCCCGAGGCCTCCCGCCCCAGCGTAAAGCCTGGAAGCACCGGGTCCAGCTACCAACCTCAGGCCCTCCCCAGGCGGAACCTACCCCCCTCCCCACGCTTCATGCCTCCATCTCCTGCCGGCCTGCTGCCTCCTCCAAGTGGACGTCAGGATGCTCCAGGGGCCCCCATCCCCTGGTCTCTTAGAACTTAGGGTCAGCAGTTTCCCGAGCCCATGGAGGGGCCGGCACTGCAGGGTCTCCGCTGGTCTCAGTCCAAACCTGGAGAACCCCCCAGCTCTCTGAGGTCTCTAGGGGCGAGCCCCACCTCTGTCACAGGACAAAGTTCCAGAAGCTGCAGCTCCCGTAAAATCTCAGAAGCAGTTTCTACAGCCACAAAATGCTGAGGTAGGGACAGAATTTGCCGTCCAGAGTAAAATTTTCTGGAGAGAGAGACAAAAGTCAGAGCCTGAGTGTACTTTGGGTTTAATGATTGATTGTGGTTTGGAAACGTCGTGAAGATCCTGGCTGGTCAGCTCCATACGTGGCCGCATTCGGTCCAGGTTAACGGACAAACCCTGACAGCCTAAGGGGGTCTTGGCCCCTCGCCAGGGCCCCTCCAGTCTACACACTGGCTTCAAGGGGACCCCGGGTTGGGCAGGGCACCCTCCTAGCCTGGGGCTCTCCACCTCACCCCACAACCCCAGCTGTGGCTCTGGGACGGTCCTGGGACTCCCTGCCTCCTGCACATGAGGCTGGGGATCTGCTGTGCATGGGGTGCGGGGGAAGGAGACGGGGAGCAGCACAAGGGCCTGCCTTCCTGGAGCCCCCAGGCCCCAAGGAGGGCAAAGCCTGCTCAGGCCTCGCTCATCCATTCAGTCCTTCATCAAACCCTGCGGTGCCTCTGAAGTCACCCTCTGATGTCACTCTCTGATGTCACCCCCTGATGTCATCCTCTGATGTCACTCTCTGAAGTCACCCTCCAAAGTCACTTCTGATGTCACCCTCTGAAGTCACCTCTGATGTCACTCTCTGATGTCATGCTCTGAAGTCACCTCTGATGTCACCCTCTGATGTCTCCTTCCGAAGTCACCCTCTGATGTCACCCTCTGAAGCTCAGCCTTGCACAGATCTGTACTTCCTCTGTGGGGAGGGCTGCAAGGGACAGGGGTGCCCCCGCCTGACTGGGTTCAGGGAAGGTGGCCAGAGCAGGGGACCGAGAGCTGCGGGACCTGCTCCCATCCACGTGCTGCAGAGCCTGGATTCACTGAGCACACCCCAACCTCCTCTCCTGGGCAGCGGCTGGGCCGATGTGGACGGCCCCCACGGGCCCCACCTGCTCAGCACGATCACTGTCCCCAGTGTTGGTCCCCACCTGTGTGTGTGGGGGCGCTCACCACTCACGTTGCCCCCAGGAGCCCGCGTGTACCCGATGATCAAAGCGCCTGGAGGCCACTTCACTCTGCAGGAGGTGGAGGAGGTACAGGGGATGCAATGACCCAGGGAGGGGCCAGTCAGCTGGGCCGGCTCAGGGCAGGGAGGGGGTCTTGGCGGGTCCCCAGGTCTTCTGAGCCCAGCTGCCCGGCTCTGAAAGCTTTCCCACACCTGTGGGCAGGTGGAAGTTTGACAGGGATGGTTCAGCTCCCCAAGGAAGCTAGGTCAGGACCGAGGCCTTGGCAGGGTGCAGGGGCGGGAGTGAGAGGTGGGGATCGGGCCATGCCCTGAGTCTTGGGGTGCCAACCTCCCCATTGGGCAGGTCCAGCCCAACCAGCCCAGAACCAGGCTGACCTCACGCTGGCCCCGGAAGTCTGGGGTAGGGGGGCTGGGGCCACTCTGGCTCAGCCTCAGGAAGAAAGACCACGTTGTCCTGGAATGAGCCCTCCTCCCAAGGAGGAGGCCAAGATGCCCGGCCCTGGCAGCACAGGCAGGGCTGGAGGAGGGTCCAGTTCCCGCTGCCCAGATCTGGCCATCTATGGGGCCGTCTGTGGGCGGGAGTGTCAGGGCAGGCCTCATCCCGCCCTCACAGGACAGTCCTCACGTGAGGGGCTGGCAGATGGGGAGGCCCTGCCCCACTGGCTCTGCCTCAGGCTGTCACCTCCTCCCGCAGGCCCTGGCCCGGCACAGGCCAGCGCTCCTGTTCCTGGCCCATGGAGAGTCGTCCACTGGCGTGATGCAGCCCCTTGATGGCTATGGGGAGCTCTGTCACAGGTACTCCTGTCCTCACAGCTGAGCCAGGCCCTCAGGTGAGCCAGTGCCCCTCAGGTGAGCCTGGCCCCATAGTTAAGCCTAGGCCCTCAGGTGAGCCTGACCCCTCAGGTGAGCCTGTGCCCTCAGGTGAACATGTCCCTCAGGTGAGCCTGGCCCTCAGGCGAGCCTGACCCCTCAGGTGAGCCTGTCCCTCAGGTGACCCTGGCCCTGAGTGTCGGTGCTGGGGGCAGAGCCAAGCCCAGTTCAGATACAGGCTGGGGATTGGCTGGGGTGGCTGGGGTGCTGGCGGCCCCTCCCCACAGGAAGTAACAGGGAGGCCCAGCTCCCTATCCCACTGGGCCCACCCCAGCCTCTCTTGTGTGGAGTGGGGTTCAGGCTTTCTTGGGGTCCTCCTGGGCCTGGGCAGAGGCTGGGTGGACCCTCTGGTCTGAGAGCAGGATCAGGTGTCCCAGAGTGCCACCTCCCTCCATGCAGGTTAGGGCTTGATGCTGACCCTGCAGTCTTGGTTCCAGGGCCTGCCCACCTTGCCCTGACCCCAGAGCCCCAGAGAAGCCCCTGCCCTCCACTGGCTTCCCCAGGGCCCCCACCCCTCCACGGGGTCCCCTTCCAGGACCAGCAGTTCTGCTCTGGACAGTTGACCACAGGATGAAAGCAGAGAAGCTCCACCCCCAGGCTGGATCATCCTGGCAGACCTGCTGTCTGTCCTCCAAGGCGGTCACGGGGCCGCTGGGCACAGCCCCAGCCGGGACCGCCTGCCCCCTGGAGTCCTGTCCAGGGGGCTGAGCTCATAAGTGTCACCTGGGCTGTGACCCCTAGAGGTCCGCAGGGGCCTCTTTGTGCCTTTCTTCTAGGAAAGTGTAAGGTGGAGGAGGGTCAGAGTTTCAGCTCAGCCTGTTCCTGGACTCTGTCCTCCGCACGCGCTGGACTTCTGCCCGGTGGGCTGCTGGACAGACGGAGGGCCGGCCTTGAGCTGCCCAGCTCCCCGGACCCCGCACAGCCCTGGGGGGCTGCGGGACAAATCCTGCGAGTTCAGGGCACCCAGACGAGCGCAGGACGCAGACTGCCCGGCTGGCCCTCTCGAGTACCTGTGGGGGACCTGGGGTCTAGCCCCGGGGGCCTGGCCATCCTGAGCCCCCGTGTGACGTCCACTCTGCTGGGGGCTGCGCACGGCCCCAGCTCAGGGTGGGCCGCCGTCTGAAGCCCTGTCCTGCTCTCTGCTGCCCCCCAGGTACCAGTGCCTGCTCCTGGTGGATTCGGTGGCATCCCTGGGGGGGGCCCCCATCCACATGGACCGGCAGGGTGAGTGCGTGCCCCCCACTCCAGCCGTCGGTGGGCTCTGAGGGTCAGAAGTCCTCCCCGCTGTCCCGTGCCCCGAGCACGTCCAGCAGCCACACATGGGGCCCGGTCTTCACAGGCCCCGGGGCACACACCAGCTCCTCCCAGGGCAGGACAGTCTCCATACTGACCACACCCCGTGTCCCCGCTGGGCCTTGGGCCCGAACAAGCCCAGGGAGAGAGGGAGGGAGAGAGGGACACTGCAGGACAAGCACTTGGAGAGAGTCAGAGCCCTGACAGGGCGGGTGCGGGCAGGCACCTGGGGCCCCGTCCAGCGGGCCTCGGTTTCCCATCGGCCCCACCCTCAGAGAGGTGGCGGCGGGGCAGGGCTCGATCCCAGCCCTGGTCCCCTGTCCTCCCAGCTGGCTGCTTGCCCAGGGCCCTCCGCTGCTGCTGCCCGTATCTTAAAATCCCCGGGTGGTGGGGGCACCCCGTGGACGGGCACCTCACGACGTGAGAGCATCACCTTTCCTCCCCCTCAGCCACCCGCACCGCCTCTGCCTGCACTTTGACCCCAGCCACGGGAGTCTGCCGCAGCAAGCAGACACTGGTGGGGGCCCCTGGTTAGCTCAGCCCGCCTGGAACGGTGTCGGTCCTGCAGGCGAGGGGTCTGGTCCCACAGCACACTCCTCCCTATGTTTGCACAGCTGGATGGTGGGTCCCAGGCCCCCCGGCGTCTGCTGGACTGGCAGCGTCTGGGCCGAGCGGCCCCCACGACCCCTAATGGGCTCGGCCCTGAGTGGGCACCCCTCCCCCGCAGGCATCGACGTCCTCTACTCGGGCTCCCAGAAGGTCCTGAACGCGCCCCCAGGCACCTCGCTCATCTCCTTCAGCGACAAGGCCAAGTGAGTGAGCCCCGCCGCCCCCACCCAGGACCGGACTGGCAGCGGAGGCCAGCGGCCCCAGCGGGGAGGGAAGGAGGGACAGAGCAGGCCCAGTGGGAGGAGAGGCCTGCCGGGGAGCCCAGGGTCTCCCAGCCCGGGGCACTGGGCTCTTCCCAGGCTGTCCTCTAGGCCCCTCCAGTGAACCCCAGCTTCACTTGCTCCCAGGAATGATGAGGCCTCATCCCTAGGCCTCTAGCCTCAGTCTCCCCTCTGTCATTTTTTGTGGGTATACTATTTTTAAATTATTTAGATTTAAATCTCACCATTAAACACAGAGCATGAGTATATGGTGACCCATGTTCAGATTTCTGAAACAGAAAAATGGACAGACAGATAACTATGCAATAAACATTGTAGAATGTATTGAACAAATAGAGAAAACCTCAGGGCTGGTATACCTATGTGTCTTATGCATTTGGCATCCGTTTAGCATAGGGATAGGCCAGGCAACTGGGCAGAAAGCCTGTTCAGGACTAAACAGAGGCCCTTGGCTGCTGAGAGCATCTCTCCTTGACTTCAGGCTTGAGACAGACAGAGGAGTCTGACTCATGTATTGCTGTTGTTCAGTCACTAAGATTTGTCCAACTCTTTGCGACCCCATGGACTGCAGCACACCAGGCCTCCCTGTCCATCACCAATTCCAGGAGTTTACTCAACCTCATGTCCATCGAGTCAGTGATGCCATCCAACCATCTCATCCTCTGTCGTCCCCTTCTCCTCCTGCCTTCCATCTTTCCCAGCATCAGGATCTTTTCCAATGAGACAGCTCTTCCCATCAGGTGGCCAAAGTATTGTAGCTTCAGCATCATTCCTTCCAATAATTTTCAGGGTTGATCTCCTTTAGTCCTCACTGGTTTGATCTCCCTGCAGTCCCAGGGACTCAGAGTCTTCTCCAGCACCACAGTTGGAAAGCATCAATCCTTGTGTGAAGATCCTTGCATTCAGGACGAACAGTAGCAAAGGACAGACATCAGGAAGGAGCTCTTGCAGACTGGGCCTGCGGGGCGGGCCTGCAACGGGCGGACTGCCTGGAGCTTGGCCTGTGGCCGCTCCAGTCCTGGGCCTGTAGGTTAGAACAGCAGTCTGGAGACAGCATGGCTACTGCAGTCTTCAGATTTCCCCAGTTTTCCAAACAAGTTTCCCGGATGCTTTCCTCAAACTGGGTCCCCTCCGCAATCTTTCTGTGTTTGAACTCACCATCCAGCAGACCTTCCCATCCTTTCTCTCTGACCTGAGAATAGTGTAGGGCAACTCCGCCGGAGGGGACAGGGAAGGGGGCGCCAGCCGGGTCCTGAGGGACAGGCTCACAACCCCGGGCAGAGGCACAGGCTGGACCCCCGGGGGTCTGAACGCAGACAATGGGGCCTGAGCACCCCGACCCGGGCTCACTTCTGAGAACCAAGGGGCACTGTTGCTGGTTCTTTCTCCCCAGAAGTAAGATCTATGCTCGTAAGACCAAGCCCGTCTCTTTCTACCTGGACATCATGTGGCTGGCCAACTTCTGGGGCTGTGATGACAAGCCCAGGATGTGAGTGAGGGGATGGGGGTGCAAGGACTGATGGGGGGGATCCCCACCTTCATTCCCCCGCACCCCGGCCGGAGCCACAGGCTCTCCAGTGCCAGGCCTGAAATGCCCTCCAGGAACTGTGCCCTGCCCAGCGGCTTAGCGAGGCACCGGGCTCCAGGCGGGACCCAGTGCCCGGCCTCCACTACTGTCCACCTGCCCCGGCGGCCCGGCCGCTGCCCCTGCCTGGAGCCCCACCCCCACCCCCCTCCGCCTGTCCTTCAGGTTCCGAGTCCATAACCCCTAAACTGGACCCTGCTCCCCTGGGAGGGGGCTGGGGGAGAGCAAGGCACTGCCCAAGCGCGCCCACTGACCCGGGCCTCTCTGTGCCCCAGGTACCACCACACCACCCCTGTCGTCAGCCTGTACAGTCTGAGGGAGAGCCTGGCCCACCTAGCGGAGCAGGTGCGGGGGGCGGGGGGCAGTCGGGGAGCCTGGAGCTGGGTCCCGCAGGGCGAGCCTGGGGAGCCCCGGAGCCCCTACCCGGGGTTCCCTCAGCCTGGGGCGCCTTGCTGGAGAGAGACTGGGCCGGGGCATGAGAGCTCTGGGCAGGGCTGGGGGCTGGCTACCGACAGAGGGGGGCCTGGGGGCAGACACAGAGATGGGACAGGTGTGGCCACATTCCCGCCCTCTGGCTCCCAGTAAAGCGCACACAAGTGCAGGCAGAGAGGAGGCAGCCTGCGAGCAGAGAGGCCGGGTGGAAGGAGAGAGGGCGGGCCCGAGGGAAGCCTGGGGAGTGAGACCCCCTCCAGGAGCCCCGCTGTGCCCGCTGCTCCCAGGGAGGGCAGGAGCCGCACGGGTCAGCGGCTGTGATGCCCCCAGTGCGGCGTCCGTGACCAGGGCAGTGTCCGTACTCTTGGGACCCAAGAGGCCCAGAAACACACCGGGACCGCCCCCAGGGGCCAGCCCAGCGCCCAGCAGAGGCCTGGGCCGCGGCCAGCCTCAGCGAGGCTGCAGTGCTGCACCAGTCACGTCTGCCCTGTGTCTACTCAGGTCACCACTGCCCTGGGCCGGGCCAGACTCAGGCTGGGCCGTGGGCAAGGCTGTCCCAGCCTCGGGCTGGCGTGTGCGGCCGGAGAGGCTGGGGACTGCACACTCGGCGGGGGGATCTCCTGAGCGGGGCCCCGGCTATGAGCTCTGGAAGCAGGGGAGGCTGGACCCCCAGAACAGGGCCTGTGGGGTCAGGGGCTGGGAGGGCACTGTCTGCACCTGGCCAGCTCCCCGCCTCTGGCTGGGTGCACACCCCCTCCCAGGGGCCTGGAGGACCAACCACCGGCTGGGGCCCAGGCTATCTCCCCTCCAGAGGGACCCAGGCCCGGCCCTTGGAAAGAGTCAGGGCCTTAAACCTGTGGCTCAAGGGGGCTCCCAAAGGGTTTAGTGTCCAGGACAGGAGAGGAGAGCCTCTCCAGACCAGAGCTCCCCTGCTGTGCATGCCAGCCAGCTTCTCCCGCTCCAGCCCCGAGGAGGGAACCCCCCCGCCCCCAGCCTACACTCTCTCCCTCCAGGGCCTGGAGAACAGCTGGCGGCAGNTGCGGGCGGCCTTGGGCCCTTGGCGGGGAAGGTAAGGGCCCTGCAGCCGTGAGCGCTCCAGGCCCAGGCCTAGGCCAGTGGTAGCAGGAAGGGGACACCTTTCTCTGAACCGGGCAGTGACTCAGCCAAGTGCACCCCGGCCCCTCCTCCCACACTGGGGGACGCCAGCCGGCTCTGCGCTGACCTCGGGGCTGGCAGCCAGGCCCCGCCCGAGGTGACCTCCTCCCCCGGCCCTGCCCCAGGTGCTGCGGATCGGCCTGCTGGGCGGCAACGCCACGCGGGAGAATGTGGGCCGGGTGACCCGGGCCCTGCGGGAGGCCCTGCAGCGCTGCCCCCGCAACAAGCTGTGACTGGCTGCCTGCCCCTCGTCCACCCTGGGAGCAGGCAGGTGGCCCCGGGGCGAACAGACTCTGCAGGGGGCACCAACCGGGGGCTGCCCTGCCCAGGCATCTGTCCCGCCCCAGGCGGCCCGACCCCCCACCACCACCAGTGGAACGTCCTGGGTATGGCCGCATGGACCCTCAGCACCTCTCCTTGAGCTGTTGCCCCCATAGGTCCCTGGCCTCCTATGAAGGTTCAATAAAGAAGTGGCTTCATCGGTCTTCACTGTGTGGAGTGGACCCCTGCTCCCTGACTGCACCTGAGCTGGGGGTTTGAATTCAGGGAGCAGAACCTTGCCGGAAGGATCCCGGCTGGAGGACGGGTTATGTGGGCTGGTCAGCGGCCTGGGGTCCCTGTCACTGTACAGTCTGGGTCTAGATCTTGAGCCTGTGAACACCTCCTCTCCCACCACCCCCACAGAGGCCCCGTGGCCCACAGAGTCATGGGCTAGGGTACCAAGGGCCCAGGAGCACACAGCCAGGACTCGGACCCTGAGAAGCCCTGGGCACACTGCAGACATGCAGGCTCTGAGAGCCGGGGAGGGCCAGGCCCTGGGCTGCTCTGCGCTCACGTGTGCAGCAGACGGGGGCCAGGACTGCAGCCCCCTCCCCTGCCCCCTGGCACCCCCGACCCCCTGCCCCTAGCCCCTGCCCCTCCCTGGGAGTCTGCCTGGTTCTGGCTCCCTCATCTGTCCTTCCTGGGAAGGGTCCATCCAGACCCGACCAGAGTGTGCTGCCAGCGGTCACGGCCACGTCCACGTGTCCTGGTCCTCACTGGGTCTAAGAGCCTCCAGAGGCAGGCTCCAGGGTCCCGCTCTTGAGATGGGCACTCACCCCGCAGCAGCCTCGAGTCTTGAGGAGGGCTGGTGTGGGCCTGGCTCCACCCCTGTGGCTCACCAGGTGGGGGCTGGGTACCGCGGTGGGCCCTGGGGTAGGGCCCCGAGCCGACCCAAGGCCTGCGGGCCTGCGGTGCTCTCAGCTACCAGGGGAGCTGGCTCCAACAGGCTGATCCAGACCCTGCCCCAGGGCGGCTGCGGTCAGCACAGCGGCTCAGAGGCCAGAGGGCCTGAAACCCCAGAGCTCAAGTCCTCTTTCTTCCCGGGGGTCTTTCACGGTCTGTGCTGTTCAGCTCCTCCCCGGGAAAGTCCTGTCCACTTGGGGGTCCTGAAGACCTCTTCCCGGGTTTTCTTCCAGAAGCCCTGTGGCGTCAAGTTCTCTGTTGAGGTTATGACCCCCTCTTGGTGATCCTGTGCGTGGAGTGGGGAAGGGGTTAAGGTCCACTTTTATCCATAGGACACCCCGTTGTTCCAATGTTTGCTGGGCAGACTTTCCCTCCTGTGTGGTTGGCGCACCCCCTTTGCCAACTGACCAGAGGTGGAGGTCTGCCTCTGTGCCCATGCATTAATGAGCTTCTCTCTCCTTGTGTCCACACCACACTGTCTTCAGCACGTTAGCTTTGTTGTAAGGCTTGAAATCATATACATTTTAGAGTCAGCTTGTCTGTTTCCTCAGAATAGCTTATTGGAATTTTGGTAGGAACTGCAGTAAATCTATGTATCTATTGAAGCTGAACCTCCAATACTTTGGCCACCTGATGTGAAGAGCTGACTTATTGGAAAAGATCCTGACGCTGGGAAAGATTGAAAGTGGGAGGAGAAGGGGACAACAGGGGATGAGATGGTTGGATGGCATGACTGACTTGATGGACGTGAGTTTGAGTAAAGTCCAGACGTTGGTGATGGACAGGGAGGCCTGGCGTGCTGCAGTCCACAGGGTCGCAAAGAATCAGACACGACTGAGCGACTGAACAACAAAAAACGTGCCAAGGTGAATGGAAACCAATAAAAAATTACAAATTCCCATTCATGAATGTTAACATATGTCTCTAAAAGTTACACTTAGTTTTCAGTGCAGAGGCCTTACCCGTATTTTGCAGTGTCACTTCTCTGCCCTTAGGAGTGAGGGTGACTAGCAGCATGCACAGAACTGCCAGCCCATGCCCCCAGGTGTATTCGCGGGACGCCTCCCGTACAGCGAACCTGCGTGACTTCCTACAGGTCGTCCCGACGATGAAGCTCCATCAGGCTTATGTCGGGACGCAAGCAGGGGATGAGTGCCAGTCTGGGGCCATGCCATGCGATGCTGGTGCCTCTCCCACGGGACCGCAAGCTGCTGTGAGCTCCCTCCCTCCTGGGGTTGGAAAGGGGGCAGTCCCTGCTGGGCAGGCACCACGACACCCGAGGCCGTGCCGTCTGCCCCGCTGAAGGGAGCCACAGCGCAGCACCTGGGTGGCTGCGTGTGGCCTGGCTCCTTTTATGTAATCCCCTGCCATTCACCATGATCCAACGGAGATTTTTATTCTTTATCTTTAGACCCCTTTTCAGAGCAGTTTTAGGTTCACAGAAAAAGGGAGAGGAAGGTGCAGAGGTTTCCCAAACGCCCCCTGCCCCACAGGTATTCGGCACCCCCAATCTCAGCCTCTCATTTTGACCTCTGAGCTGAGGTCACCCTGGTGAGCCAGGGCCTCTGACAGCGGCACTAAGTCCTGACACTGGCCTTCGGTGCGTTCTGCCGGACTCTTGGCTCTGGGCGCGGGTGGTTATAACGTCTTCCCCTTGGCCTTTCCTGCCACTGTAGCTTTCTCCTGCTGAGTGCAGCCCCCTGCATCCTCCAACATCAGAGAAATGACACAGGGTGAGCCTGGCCACTGCGCCCCTCACGAGTCAGGCTGGACCAAGCTAGCACCTTCTGCAGCTGCCCGCCTCACGGCAGGGCGCGGGGTGCGCCTGGGGGCATTCCGTGTCCCCTCCCATTAGTGTCAGCTCAGGCCCCGGGTCCCACGGCCTCCCGAGAGGCCCACGCGTCCCCTCTGCAGCGTGCGTGTGACCACTTTCCGGAGGAGGTCCAGGGAGGTGCCTGCCACACGGACTCACTGGGGTTTGCAGCCACCTTCTCAGGACCCGGGGCGTGGACTGCGGCTCCCAACTCAGGAGCCACGCTGCTTCCAGGCAGAGTGAAGACTGCAGAACGCCTGCTGGCCGGGGCACACAGAGGGTGGCAGCCCCGCGGGGTGAGGGGCTACGGGCCGCCGGCAGCGCGCTGACGGGAGAATGGAGGTGGAAACAGCCGAGGGCCGAGACGGGCGGGGACGGGGGTGCCACCTGTCGGGAGAAGCCCCCGCACACAGCAGGGGTGCCTCTGCCACGGTGCCGCTGGCGGGGGGCTGCGGGTGGCTCCCTCATGAACTAGCAGGTGAGGACTGGGGGCGGGCCGGGGTCGATCACAGGGACAGAGAAGGATGTCTGCACACAAGCTTCTCCACTTTATGTATCCAGAAAGCAGGCGGTCCCGGCCCCACTGGACACATCAGAGGCCCCGCCACCTGGAGCAGCACACGACCCAGGTGCAGACAAGCTCCTGGCCCCGAGGACTGTCAGCTCTCGGTCTTGATGACGTCACACAGAGCGCACAGCACCTTCACCCCGGGGCCTCCGAGACGCACTGTCCAGCACACTCAGACGCCCTCGGGGCTGACCCTGGACAGGCACAGGTGGGCCCTGGGGACAAAGGCCCTCCACCCCCAAATCCACTCCACCTGAAGCCCGTTCCCTCCTCCAAACGTTCCCAGAGCCTCCGTGGGCGGTGCAGCCCGGCAGAGGGCAGTGAGCCGGCGCCCACCTCAGCGATCCTCAGCACCCAGAGTCTTGGTCTTCAGGAAGACGCTCTGCATGGCCGAGACCCGCTGCTCGTCCTGGATGTTGAAGACCTGGAACTGCAGGTGGGGTGGGACAGCGGGGTCACGGGCCGTGGGGGCCATCGGGCGCTCCCTGGTCTCCAGCCTCCTCCCTCTGGGTCTTCACCTGTGCAGTCCTCCCTGAGGGCGGACACACCTGGGGCCCCCTATCCCAGGCCCTTCCCTGGACGGGCCTGACACAGGGAAGCCCCCCCGGGTGCTGACTGAGAGCTCGGCGGGGCAGTGCACGCCCCGAAGCCCCCCACCCCCACGCACCCTGGAAGGAGCGTGTGTGGGCTCTCAGGGTGGGGTGAGAACTGGCCTTGGGGGATAGGAGCCAGAGGGGCTCTGTGGGGCGGGGGCAGGGAGACATAGCAGAGTGGTGGAGCCTGGGGACTCAAGGAGGGACAGCAGGTGGACGCACACGGACGCGGGCGTGGCCGAGGGACCCCCGAGCCCAGGGGAGCAGCAGGAAGCTGTCCCCAGGAGGCCCGGGGCAGCCACACTCTGTCACGAGGAGCGGAGCCCAGGGGGCAGGTGGGGCTCTGAGCACTTGTCCAGTGTGGGTTTGTGGGCGGTTCGGGGGCTCTCTGACAGCGGCACTAAGTCCTGACACTGGCCTTCGGTGCGTTCTGCCGGACTCTTGGCTCTGGGCGCGGGTGGTTATAACGTCTTCCCCTTGGCCTTTCCTGCCACTGTAGCTTTCTCCTGCTGAGTGCAGCCCCCTGCATCCTCCAACATCAGAGAAATGACACAGGGTGAGCCTGGCCACTGCGCCCCTCACGAGTCAGGCTGGACCAAGCTAGCACCTTCTGCAGCTGCCCGCCTCACGGCAGGGCGCGGGGTGCGCCTGGGGGCATTCCGTGTCCCCTCCCATTAGTGTCAGCTCAGGCCCCGGGTCCCACGGCCTCCCGAGAGGCCCATGCGTCCCCTCTGCAGCGTGCGTGTGACCACTTTCCGGAGGAGGTCCAGGGAGGTGCCTGCCACACGGACTCACTGGGGTTTGCAGCCACCTTCTCAGGACCCGGGGCGTGGACTGCGGCTCCCAACTCAGGAGCCACGCTGCTTCCAGGCAGAGTGAAGACTGCAGAACGCCTGCTGGCCGGGGCACACAGAGGGTGGCAGCCCCGCGGGGTGAGGGGCTACGGGCCGCCGGCAGCGCGCTGACGGGAGAATGGAGGTGGAAACAGCCGAGGGCCGAGACGGGCGGGGACGGGGGTGCCACCTGTCGGGAGAAGCCCCCGCACACAGCAGGGGTGCCTCTGCCACGGTGCCGCTGGCGGGGGGCTGCGGGTGGCTCCCTCATGAACTAGCAGGTGAGGACTGGGGGCGGGCCGGGGTCGATCACAGGGACAGAGAAGGATGTCTGCACACAAGCTTCTCCACTTTATGTATCCAGAAAGCAGGCGGTCCCGGCCCCACTGGACACATCAGAGGCCCCGCCACCTGGAGCAGCACACGACCCAGGTGCAGACAAGCTCCTGGCCCCGAGGACTGTCAGCTCTCGGTCTTGATGACGTCACACAGAGCGCACAGCACCTTCACCCCGGGGCCTCCGAGACGCACTGTCCAGCACACTCAGACGCCCTCGGGGCTGACCCTGGACAGGCACAGGTGGGCCCTGGGGACAAAGGCCCTCCACCCCCAAATCCACTCCACCTGAAGCCCGTTCCCTCCTCCAAACGTTCCCAGAGCCTCCGTGGGCGGTGCAGCCCGGCAGAGGGCAGTGAGCCGGCGCCCACCTCAGCGATCCTCAGCACCCAGAGTCTTGGTCTTCAGGAAGACGCTCTGCATGGCCGAGACCCGCTGCTCGTCCTGGATGTTGAAGACCTGGAACTGCAGGTGGGGTGGGACAGCGGGGTCACGGGCCGTGGGGGCCATCGGGCGCTCCCTGGTCTCCAGCCTCCTCCCTCTGGGTCTTCACCTGTGCAGTCCTCCCTGAGGGCGGACACACCTGGGGCCCCCTATCCCAGGCCCTTCCCTGGACGGGCCTGACACAGGGAAGCCCCCCCGGGGCCGAACGAAAACCCCGCCGGGCAAGGCAACCCCCCAAACCCCCCAACCCCAACCAACCCGGAAAGAACCGGGGGGGGCCCCCAAGGCGGGGGGAAAAACGGCCCTGGGGGAAAAGAACCAAAAGGGCCCCGGGGGGCCGGGGCAAGGAAAAAAAACAAAACCAGTGGAGCCTGGGGACTCAAGGAGGGACAGCAAGTGGACACACACGGACGCGGGCGTGGCCGAGGGACACCCGAGCCCAGGGGAGCAGCAGGAAGCTGTCCCCAGGAGGCCCGGGGCAGCCACACTCTGTCACGAGGAGCGGAGCCCAGGGGGCAGGTGGGGCTCTGAGCACTTGTCCAGTGTGGGTTTGTGGGCGGTTCGGGGGCACCGGGGGCAGGCCCAGACGGCCTGGTTCCCAGAGATGGACCCTTGGCCCTTGAGGTCCCTGGCAGCTGGGGGCATTCACGGCTTCTCTGAGCCCGACAGACGCCCCCACTGCACTGCCCCAGTGAGGACTGGCCTGCCCCACCTTCCTCAGCTCCTGACCAGGGATCGCAAAGCAGGGCTCCCTCCCCACCCACCATGACCCCACACCTGCCGGGTCCCCCAGCCTCTGCGCTCACCTTGTCTAGCAGGACGTCGAAGTAGGCAGTGGCCCAGTAGGCGGGCTCGCTGGCGGGCAGCTGCAGGAGCGCCCGGAGCCCGCTGCCCACGCGCGGCGGGGGGCTGCGGCCCAGGTGGGTGGCGTGGATGCGCAGGGCGGCCTCAGGCTGGCTGGCGAAGCGCTCGACGCGCTGGTAGAGGGCGCCCAGGTCCAGGCCCGCGTCCTGCAGCAGGTTCCGCTCAGGGTGCAGGAAGTGCGGCAGGTTCCTGGTGGCCAGGCAGCAGAGAAGCACCACCAGCAGGCGGTACACGGCGCCCTGGAGCTCCGCCCAGTCCTCGGGCGTGGGGAAGAGCGTGGCGGACCACAGCAGCACCGTCTGCGGGGCACCGGGTCAGCCCAGCCAGGGGAGGCCCCGCCCGCCGCGCCTCCCCGGGCGTTCTGGCGGCCCCCAGCCTGACGCCCCTCTTCTCCCTGGGGTCAAGCTCAGGGCGTTCTGAGGCTCCCACCATCCTGTGGGCCTTTCCCCACGTGCCCTGTCCTGCACGACCTCCTACTGATGCCCCGCAGCCCTACACAAAGTGCCCTGCCCGGTAACATCGTCCCCGCCCTCGTCGGTGAGTCCAGGATGCCTGGATCCATCTCAAAGCCACCAGAATAGACTTATCTGCGCCACCCCCAGCACTTCCTCCTCCTTCATCCCAAGCCCCCGGCCAGGGGCCCTTCCTGTCGCTTGGCACCCCCTGCCGCACACCCCCTCTTGCTCACTGAGCCAGAGTGTGAGACCCCAAAGGACCCCCTCGGAAGCCAGCAGCCCTTCGGGGAGAGGGGCATGGAGGCCTGGGGTGGGGGGCAAATGGGTCACAGTGGGGTTCACAGTAACCTTCCCACCAGGTCCTCCCCAAGCCCCACCCCAGGCGGGGAGCAGCGCCCCCCCCGCCCCACTGCTGGCCCTCAGAGGAGACCCCTGGCCCCCAGCCCAGCCACTCCCCCTTCACACAGGCACACAGGAGAGGCCGCGCAGGGACCACAAACCTTCAAGTGGCCGAAGGTCAGCCCGGGGCTCCGGCCGCCGTCCTGCCAGCTCTCATGGTTGACCCGGTCGAGGATGGAGAGGCTGTCTAGGCGGTGGCCCCGGAGGGAGCCCAGCGCCCCCAGCAGCCTGGTGAGCAGGTAGTCAGTGGAGACCCTGGAGCCCAACAGACATACCGCAGGCGGTCAGCACCAGGGCCGCTCAAGCGTCCAGACACGTGCCTACCCAGCCTGTCCTCAGAAAGGACGGTCCCCCGCCTCTGTGGCCGTCTGAGCCCCACAGGACGGCCCAGGCCACATGGGGACTGGCCTGGCGCTCACGGCCCACGCCTGCACTTTTCAGGAACCACTCCTGATGGGCCCTGGGGGTGCAAAGTCCCATTCCCAGGTAGAAGCTCAGGCCCAGGATGTGGGGGGCAGCTGGGCGTCCCCAGGCACGTCCAGGCCTCTTCGTGTGGGCAGGCAGATACCACTGTGACCCACCAGGGGTGAAGCAGCGGCTCTGGGTAGGCAGGCAGGGGCCGGGTGAAGCTCCCAGGCCGGGCAGGTGGCGTCTCCACTCCAGGCCCCATTTGGGAAGCCCAGACCCCCTGGCTGCTGCACACACAGAATCTGGCCCTGCGGCAATGCCCACAGTGTGGGCATCACAGGCCAGAGGCGCTCTCTGAGTGGGCTGGAAAGGTGGAAACCGGTGTCCTGTGAGCCCCTCCTCCCTGGGGGGTCTCCATGCTGGACGGTCACCGGCCCGCACGCCCTGATCTGCGGTGGGTATGTCACAGGACAGGCCATGTCCCCATTTACTCGTGAAAAGTGACTCCGCCCAGCTCAGCGATTCTCTTCCCTCTATGGGCAGGGGTCAGCCTGGACGCAGCCCCTGCTCTGGGCAAGGTGGCTCAGCTGGGGAGGCCTGGGGGGGCTCACAGGCTCTCCACTGGGACTCCCTCAGGGCAGAGAACCACAGAAGGGCACAACCAGCCTGATGATCGCCATCCACGTCCAAGCATCAGCTGGACTGTGAGAGTGAGCCCTGCTTAGGCAGCCGCGCCTCGTTCCTGCGAGTGTCCCCAGCCCCAGGAGCTGGGGTGAGTCACCTGGGCAGAACAGGGCGACCCTGCACACCAGGCGCCGGGTCAGGTCAGCACGGGGCCCGGTCCCCAGCCCTGGGCTTGAGGGGAGCTCAGCCTCGGCCCCGTGCCCCCGCCCCTCACAGACACCGAGGCGGCCCCCCTTCCCTGCAAGACCGGCCGCCCTTCCTGAGCACAGGCTCCTGGGCGGGACCCGGGACCCGAGGCGGGGCTGCTGGGCTCCAGGGCCGGTGGGCGGGCCTGCAGGCGAACAGCCCGGGTGGGAGCTGTCCCCTCCCTCACGGTGGGGGATGCGCGTCTGGGAAGGGCAGAGCCCAGGGCCAATGCCTCTCCTCGGACACTGACCACCCTCCCGTGAGGGCCCTCCCAGATCAGTCCCCTGGCCCTCGGCACTGTCCCACCTGAAGGGAAGGCGCCAGGGGGGTGGTGGAGGAGGCCGCCCAGGACAGCCCCCCAGAGTTCCGAGTACCCCTCAGTTCCTGACAGCACCCCCTCCCCAGGGGGACAGAGGACGCCTCCCCGTCACCCAGCGCCAAGAGACGAGGAGCCGGCAGTGGGGGGCAAGCAGTCTGGTGGGATCCCTGCGACCCCGGGAATGGCAGCACTGTTCGGGAGCCTGGGGCAGAGGCGGAGGGTATCCCCGCAGGCTCCCCTGCCCGGAGTCGGCGGACAGAGGGGTGACGGGCCGCCCCTCCCGCCGGCTCCCCGGGGCCCCACACCCCCGGAGCGCTTCCTACCTCCAGAGCTCCGCGCTGGCCGGCACCAGGGTGGCCTTCTGGCGGACGATCCCTCGCAGGGCACCCTCAGGGAACCCCGGCACCAGCCCGGCCCCCTCCAGGGCGGGCACCCTGAGCCTCTTCCGCACCACGGGCACCACGTTGAAGCAGAGTGTCCTCCAGCCGCTGGACACCCGCAGGGACAGGCCGAGCTGCTCCGCCCTCAGACTGTCCACACTCAGGGAGCCTGCAACGGGCCACCTGCTAAGCCAGCCCCTCTCCCGGGCCGACCTCCAAACCCCGACCCCTGAGCCTCAGGCGGCGCCTCTAGCGAGGCACACTGAGGCCGTGAGGGGGCCCTGACCCAGCGAGACCTGCTCATGGAGCAAATGTCGAGATCTGCTCCCTGAAAAGCCCACAGGAGGATGCTGGGGGGTGGATCTCTAGTCAAGGGGTGCCCCCAGTGAAACCAGGCTCTGGACCCCGTGACCCTGGGACCTCAGCCTCCAGAACACGGAGGAAATGCGCTTCTGTTGCTCAGGCCACCAGGTCCCTGGGTCTGGAGGAGGTTCCTAACCCTTGGCTCGAAGAGGCTGATTTTAAGGCTGCGCCCCACGCCCCGGGACACACAGTGCACCCCCAGTCCCTGGTTGCCTCAGCACCCTTTTCCTGGACCCGTGGGCCCCTAACCCCGGGCTGGCAGGTCATAGCAGCCCCTCTGCTGGGGACACCCTGGGCTGCTGGAGGTCGGGTCCCACCCTCCCCACAGCCTGGTGACCCTGCAGCTCCTCCGGAGGGTGGGGCGGCCTCTGTGGTGTTCCAGCTTCAGAGCCCGAGGGAGGGGGCCTGGCTGTGGCTGGATGTCCCCTGAGCAGACCCTCCTGCTCCCCACTTCCCCTATGTGACCCGAGAGCGCCCTCCAGGCTCCACCCGTGACCCATCCAGGAAGGGCCAGGCCCTGGGTGACTGCCCAGTGGCCCTGCAGCCTGGGTGGTGAGGAGCTGGCTGGGCGCAGGCTCAGCCAAGAGGAGGCCCTGGACCCCACCGGACACGCAGGCCGGGCACCGGAGCCTGCCTCCTTCTGCACATTCTACCTGACCTGCTTCCCACATCCCCTCCTCCCCAGACTCCAAGGGGCCCAGCCTGGCACCCACGGCCGTGGAAAGTGCCACAGATCACCAGGAGGGGATGTTCCATGGTGTCCCTTCCCCCAAACACACACACAACCCGGAGAGAGCAGGCTCTCTCAGGGCAGCGGGAGGGGCTCTGTGTGTGGCCTGGATGAGGAGAGGTCTCCCCTGCCCTCCCAGCGCTCCCCAGAGAGGGTGCCAGGCCAGAGGCCAGGAGCTGGCCAGCTGGGGCCCGGAAGGCGGGTCATCAGGTCCCAAAGGGAGTCCCCAGCACGTGACCTGGAGGACGGTCTCGGCGCTGGTGAGCCCAGGAGCCCCCTGGGAGCTGGATGCGTGGCACCTTACACTCTGCACTGCCCTCCCCGGGCCTTCCACAGCCCCCCCGGGGTTCAGGGGGGAGCCTGTGTGCTCCTCACCCCCGTACGAAGACCCCCTCCCCCACAACCTCCAGCAGGGCAGCTCTGGGGCCACCTTCTGGGACCCCGCCCAGAGCAGGTCCTGGCCCTGCCCCAGGGCCAACCCGTCCCCTGCAGGGCCCGTCTCCCCACCAGGTGAGCGGGGAAGGGGCCCAGGGACCCCCAGGCCATCCCATTCAGCATGGTTGGAGGACCCTGTGTGCAGACACCTGGGCAGTTTCACTTCCTCATCTGCCTTTGTTCACAGAAAGGTGACTTGGAAGGCAGCCAGCCGCACCCACAGTCCCTGGCACTCCCCACCTCGGGCCCGGCCCGTCTCACTGGTTCCCAGGGTGGGGGCCTGAACCCCTGCACCTGGGCTGCCGCTTCCCTTTTAAGGCAAGTGTCAGAAGCAACGCCTGGAATTTCCCACAGCAGGAAGCGCGGGTGGGAAGGAGGGGCCTGGCCGCTGGGCCCCGTGGGACGGAGGAAGAAGAGAAGAACCCCGCCCAGCTGCCGGCGGTCACTGCGAGGCTCAGAGGGGACCGGACAAGACGCGGGCAGAGCTGAGCTCAGGAGCACCCGCCCAGAGGGGCGCGTCTGCCATCAGCCTGCAGCAGGCCTGCCGGGGCCGGGTGGGCAGGCTCCCCTTCACATCGGCTTGCAGACAGACACCTGGCTCCCCCGGAACCCGCAGGACCTGAGCCTGGATGTACGGTCAGACCTGAGCTCCGCACGCTGGGCGGCCAGGGCAGGTCAGCACCCCTCGGGGGGGCTGCCGTCCCACTCGCTGATGTGGGGCCAAGAGGACTCCAGGTGACAGCCACAGTGCCTCGTGCCTGTCCCCTCCCAGGCAAGCTGCACCCCCTGTCTTGTCTCCCAGGCCCTGCCCCTCGGCCCTGACCCCCTGGAGGATGCACTTCATCACCCAGGGACCTGCCGTGCTGAGCTGTCCTTCCCGCGCCCTTGAGGTCCAGGCAGCCCCTGCTGGAAGGGGGCCCACAACTTCTGGGCCTGTCAGGAGTGCTGCCCGCGGCCCCCATCCATCAGATCACATCACTGGGGCAACCAGGGAGACGCTGAGGCCAGAGCCAGTTCACTGGAAAGTTTCCCCCACAGAACCTGCCCAGGGCCAGAACACGAGCTAGCAACTGAGCAGTACACAGATACAGGCCTATGCACACCGGCACACACACCCCTCACGTGTGCACACACATGCACTCACGATCCCGCAGTCCCACACTTACACACACGCACACATGCTCGCACACGCATGCACTTACACACCCACATTTGTGCTCAAACGTGCACTCATGATCCTGCTCTCACACTCACACATGCACTCATGATCCTACAGTTTCACACTTACACACACACACGTGTTCACACATGCACTCACCATCCTGCTATCCCACGCTTACACACATGTATTCACACATGCACGCACTTACACACTTTCACACATGTGCTCACAATCCTGCTGTCCCACACTCACACACATACATATGCACTCACGATCCTAGTTTCACACTTACACACATACGCGTGTTCACACATGTACTCACTACTCAGTCATCCCGCACTTACACACATGTATTTACACATGCACTCATGGGCCTGCCATCCCTCACTTACACACACACACACACGTGTTTGCACACATGGCCTTAGATCTCACAGTCCCACACTTACACACACACACCCACGCGCGTGCAGCGCGATCACCCGCACCTGGTGTGATGAGGTGGTGGTGCTTGCAGTACACGACGGCCGCCACCAGCAGGTCCTTGAGGACCCGCAGGACCTTGCCGGGCACGATGTGGCCGCAGCACCTGGCGCTGCCCTCCAGGGAGGCCTCGAAGACGTCGTCTGCCTTCCAGCGCTCCAGGCCGGCCGCTTCCCGGGGGAGGCCCAGGCGGCAGCACCCCATGCCGCCCCCCGCCTCGGCGGCCCCCACCTCCTCAATCACCAGGGCCTCGGCGTCCACCCACAGGGGCACCTCCACGTCCAGCGGGCCCTCCGAGGAGCGCAGGGCGAACTGGAAGGCCTCCAGGTCCCGGGAGTAGTCCACAAGGAAGCGGGGGTCCAGGGCGTGCACCCGCCCCAGCAGGGTGAGCACCACGTCCTCGGCGCGCTGGTGCTCCTGTGCTCGGGACGCTGCCCGCGAGCGCAGCGCCTGCAGGTAGTGGTGCCACAGGGGCACCTGCACGGCCATGGCTGCGGCACAGCCCGCGGAACGGGCTGGGAGGAGGCGCCTGCTGCACGCGGCCAGCTCCCACCAGCGACTGGCGGGAGGGCGGGCGGGGCGCAGCGGCTAAATAGCTGAATGGGGCCCTGGCTTTGAAGTGAGGGTGAGTCAGCCATCAGCAATTAGGAATGTCGCGAGTGGGCGGGGCCTGGCTTCCCTCCCGCCACCGCGGCTCCACGGCTCAGGCCCAAGGGCGTCCAGGCTCCGGACTTTGCCCCTCTGGGCCCGGCCCCCACCACCCCGTGCTGTCCTGTCCCGGGCGCCCCCTTTCCACCCTTACGCCCGTCGCAGCAGCCGCAGGGGCTCTGCGGGCCTCCCCACAGAACCGGGCGGGACATGGGCCATCCCCGCTCTCGGATGAGAGGTGAGCAGGCCAACGGCTGCGCCGGACCCCTCAGTGGGAGCTGTCCACTGCAGCTGCCACCTCCCAGCAGCCTCTCTCTGAGGGCCAGCGAGGCTGTGTTTCCATGGCAACCCGCACACCACCCCCCTCAGGCACCTGTGCCCGTGTAAAGCAGGGAGCCAAAACCCGCTGCCTCCTCCCCCTGCAGGGCACGTGTTCAGCCCTGGCACCCAGCCCCAGGCCCTCGGACCCCTGAGGGGCCCACCGCCCACCTGCCTGCCCTTCATCCTGAGAAGAGCCATCACCCCCGGGGCCTGGTGCTGGACAGAGCCCGGTTCCGGAGGGTGTCTCCTTGGGCCTGCCTGGCCAGCCTAGGTAGCCTCACCCTGCCGCCCTCTCCAGGGCAGTCCAGCCCCGCCTGCCATTTCACAAATCCCAACCAGCATCGGGACCTGCCCTGCCCACCCCGGACCCCGCCAGGCTGGCCGTGCACCTGAGTTCAGCCACAGCAACATCTGCAAACAGTGAACATGGGGCCCACCCCGGCCAAGCATCTGGAGACACTGTCCCTGCAGCACTCCGGGGGAGCCCCCGGCCCCCCCGGAGACACCCAGGGAACTGTGCCCGTATCAGTGCTGCGGGCAGGACCGACATCAGCACTCTGTTCCTGGTGCTTGGAGACCCTGCTAAGAAGCTGCAGCCCCCGTGGGGGTGTCTCTGCTTCCACACCTCCCGGGACGAGGAGCTCACCACCTCACAAGGCAGCTCGTGATAGTCAAGAGAAAACAGATTTGCATCCTCAGCCCTGGCCGGCCCTGCCCTCGGGGTTAGCCCAGGGCATGCCTGCCCCTCCCCCAGGGCACCCCAGGGGTTCAAGGCCGCGCAGTTAGCAGCCCTCCCGGCACCCCACTCATCCTGCCTGCTTCCCATGCCACCTGCAGGGAGGGGCGCTGGGGCCCTTCCGCCCTGACCTGACCCTCGGCACAGGGCCCTGCCTGCGTCTGGAGCCACCATCTGTGACTCAAGGATTCTCACACTGCTCCAGCGTTACCCTCCCACGAATCTCACAGCTCTCCTGAATTGGCCCGGGAGACCTGGCAACGCCTGTCTGCCCAAAGTGCCGAGAGCTTTGAGCTGCGAGGAAGGCCCACTCCATACTCAATGGGCCGCCTTGGGCTCTGTGCTCAAGGACCCTGGGGCAGGGGCCCTCCCGGCCCAGGGCACCAGCCCCTGACTCCCTGGAGCGCCGCTCCTGGTCAGTGACCCTGCAGGGCCGGAGGCTGGCTGCACACACTCCTCACCCTCCCCGTGCCCATCCGCACCTTTAGCTGGAACCCCAGCTCCCGACACCCCACGCCCAGGCCCATGTGCCCCAGGGCCTGGCAGGCCCCCTTATACCCAGCAAAGTCAAGGTGCATCTCCAACCTCCCTCAGAGGGTTCTCCCCGCCTCGCTCTGGTCTCGGGGTGGCCGCTTTTGCCCAGCGAGTCCTGGATCTGCCCCCTGCCCCCTGCAGACTGTCCACCCCAGTCCACCCCTCCCCAGGCCTCCGGTCCCTGGCCCTGAGCTGTTGGGGCTGGCCCTCCAGGAGACAAACCTGACCGGGTGCCTCTCTGGTGTCACCCCTGCATCCATGCTCCCAGGAACCTTCTCCTCCATCTCTGGCCGAGCCTCAGGCCCTGCCTGCCTGACCTCTGACCACTACTGTGTCCCCTTGAGCGGCTCAGGCTGGCTGGTCCCCTGACAGTCCCTGACAACCCCCCACCAAGCACCCCCCAACGCAGCAGCTGGCCGGCCCCCATACTTTCCCAGGCCTCTGCGGGAATGGGGCCCCAGCGGGGTGAGTTCAGGCCGCACGCTTCCCCCTGGAGCCCCCCAACAGGGAGGGCCTCCTCAGAGTCCCGGGGTGGCCAGAGGCGCTCACGCCGCGGGCACTTGGCAACAAGAGGAACTGTGGACGCGTGGAGTGGACGTCCCAGGAAGCTGGACGTGCGCACCCTGCAGGGAGAGACGAGAGGGACAGAGGGGAGCAGGCGCCCACCCGGCAGGCTGCAGACCCTGGGACCGCCAGCCCGCACACCCCAGTGCGGAGGCGCAGGAGCCAGGGGAGCAGGCGTGCTCAGTGCCCCAGCGGGTCTGACCAGCTTCCTGCGGGCGGGAGGCACAGGGCGGGTCGGCCTGCGTGTTTGTGTTGCTTCCGCCTCTCAGCGTAACTCCGCACAGGAGCACGTATTTCAGGAATTCCCACATGCACTGGAAGGGGCGCGTGTCCCCCCGAACAGGCTCCTGATCGGCGGCCCCCACACAGCCTCAGCACAGGTGACAGACAGTCCAGCTGGGCAGGGGCTTGCAGAGGAGGGAGGCCAGGCCCCGAAGGACACTGCCAGCAGTCGTGCCCTGGACACCCTCCAACTGGCCGGGTCAGACCCGGGCTCTGGCCCCGGTCCTCACCTGGCGTGGCTTGCCTCCTCTGTGTCCCCACGGCTCCAGCCCATTCGTGCCGCAGCCCGTATCACTGTCTACCGCCTGACTGGATGGCAGATTTGTGCAGGGGTGCCCTACCTGCAAGGCTGAACCTGGTCTCCTGAAGGCACTCCCCCACACTGTGGCAGGATCTGCCACTGTCCTTGTTGCCAGCGGCCCGGGCACTGTCCCCCTGACCACCCGTCGGCCTTGGAGGCTTTGCAGGCGGCCGGGAGGGGCACAGTGGGTGGAGGGGAGGCCGACAGCCCCCAGGAGCCAGCCAGCCGCCTGGCTGTGTCCTCTTCTCCCAGGGTACCCAGCTCTGGCGTGGGCACGAGGGACATGCAGGACTGGGTGTGCAAGGGGGTGCTGGGCCAGTCGATCCCGAGGTTCAGGGAGAAGCCGGGAGGCCCTCACGTCCAGAAGCAGCCTCAAGAGGCCCGTGTGGGCAGGAGCGGGGGTGGGGCTGAGGCGTGAGGCTCCGTCCGTCTGTCCAGCGGGGACTGCAGAGCCCTGAGGGGGAGAGCCGACCGGGTGCTTGTGGACACTGGGACCCCTCAAGGAGAAGCCGGCGCGCAGGCGACCAGCAACGGTCCCCAGGAAGGAAACCCCCGCCCCCAGCAAGCGGGCAGTGGACAGCTGAGCCATGAAGGTTTCCCAGGCAGGAAGGGAGCCGGGCGGGGCCAGACGAACGGGGGTGGGCAAGGCCTGCGGTGAGAGGAGGGCTCTTAGGGCCCCGTCACGGTGCGGGGAGGAACAGGTGAGACGGGGGCCCCGGCAGACGCCCTCTCAGGCCCAAGGAGCGGAGCACCGCCGTCAGGGCAGCCCAGGGCAGCCCAGCTCCCGTCCAGGCCGGTCAGTCAGCCCAGGGCCATTCGCCCAGTCCTGTCCGACTCTTGGCGACCGCATGGACTGTGGCCCGCCAGGCTTCTCCGCCCGTGGGATTCTCCAAGCAACAGTTGCTGGAGCGAGTGGCCACTTCCTCCTCCAAACCCTCCCCTAGGACACCGCGTCAACTGCACAGCCCGGCCCAAGAGTCGACCAGCTCTCTTCTGAAGGTGCCGGTTGGCGGGGGGCGGGGGAAGAATTTGCTTCCAGGTCTGCAGGCAGATAGGGGTTGTTCTTGTTTTTCTTTTCAGTATGTTTTTGTTGTGACCAAGAGGTAGCAGAAAACTGACTATCGCATTTCCTTGCTCCCGCCCCATGAGAGTGGGTGTCGGAAGGCAGGGTCCACAAGTCACTCCTACTCCCCTTCCCCAAGACCAGCCCCCGAACCTGCCCATAGCAGTGCCCTCAGGCAGCCCTCTGAGTGGACGAACACAGCTGGGCTCTGCTCCTGAGGCCTCTTGGGACCTCCCCCTGGAAACCCCCTGGAAAACCAGGGCTGGTGGTCCCCTACGGTCTCTGGGCAGTGGCCTGGATGTCATGGGAGGCCCCTGAGCTGCACAGAGACGGGAGGGGTTGAGGCCCGACTCCCACGGCGCACCAGGGCCCACTCGGAGGACCCCAAGAGGCTGGCAGGCAGTGTCCCTAAGCATGAGCCTCCCAGCAGCACCCCAATCCCGCAGAGTGTCACACACAGCCTCAAGCATGGACAGAGGGCCGGGCTGGCCAGAGGTGCCGACTTTGAGTAGCTGGAGCCGCTGGGCAGTGGGAGGGTCAGCGGTCCCGGCCGGTGCCCCAGCCTGCGCCCCAGCGTCCAGGACTGGCTGTGGTTTGGTGCCACAGCAGGGCTCACAGGCCAGCTTCTGTCCAGCACCTGCAGGGGACACAGCCCCTGAGGCCGCAGACCAGGGTCAGCGGAGTCCCAGCTGCCAGGGGAGCCACTCCTGTCGTGAGCAATCCCTGGCCATCCCGCACTCGCCTGCTGGGGGTGTGAGGAGGCCCAGGGCCCGGGGACGGGGTCACGGAGGAGCCCCGCCAGTCAGATCCCAGCCGATCACAGCGGGGCTGGCCTGGAGGCTGCGAGGGTAGGACAGGGACTCCCCCCCTCCCCGAGGCTGCATGTGACTCGCCTTCAGAGGACACGTCAGGGCCAGGCGTTGCATCCACGGCCGGCCCGCCCCCCGCCGTCTGCACAGCTGTCTGGGAGCCTGAGTGGCCTAAGCCAAGGAAGTCAGCGCTTTGCTGGGAGTTTGAGGTCCCTTCCTCTCGGGGAGGGTCTAGGTCAAGGGTGGCAAATTCTGGGGTCCCTGGGGCCAGGCAAGGCCAACAGTTCTGCCTCCACTTCCCCAGCCGTCACCCAGGCCCTGTGGTCCCCGTCCACACGTGGGCCCAGCATAGCCAGGCCCACGGGGAGTCTGAACTGTCCCTGGGGAGTCTGCGGGTGACTGTAGACGCAGTGCAGGACAAGAACAGGGTGAGGTGCCTGCTTCCACGGGGGAGCAGTGCACAGGGCCAGGGCGGCCGCGGGCTGGGCCAGGGCAGGTGGTCAGGGCCACAGCGCTGCCCTCACTGCCCAGGGACTCCCTCTAAGCACCCGGGGGAGGCGCAGGGTCCGCGGGTGGGAGTCAGGACGGCCACGGTCCTCCCCAGCCCCA